TCGTTGGTTCAAACCTATGGCAGTAATGAATACATGTTCACCCAAGCCTGCCAGACCTGAAACATGTTTACATTTCTTTCCAAGGTTGACTCTCGTAGCTACGGTAGTCTGCACACACTTCCTTTTCCTCAGTCATCTTGCCAGTATGGTCTTCAACCTGCCATGTCCAGCAGGATAATTGCGTTGGGGTACCTGCATCAGCAGGCCTGACACAATCAGACCCTTGTGGTATCCTTCCGGTCACTCCGGAAACCACTCCCAATGCACTTCAAATTCTCCCAACGCACTTAGAGAAATTCCACAACTCGGATCACTGCTGGCAGTGGAAGGTGCCAAAGGCAGAAAGGGCAAGAGACGGAAAAAGGGGTGAATCCGTTAGTTCGCCACCACGGATCGGACCAACCTAGTCTTGAAATGGCGTCGGCCCAATTACTCTTAGACGGAATGTATTCCCAATACATCCAGGTACGCAAGGCGTACAGCATGACATGAATCAAACCGCACATGCGCTCCAGATCGGGTGACTGGGAACGGCCCCGAATCAGACACATGAGGCTAGCGACGTTATCGATCAGCCAAATGCCTCGACGACCCCGAAAGGCCTGCGCCCGATATGTGAGGGCATAAATGATCATCACCATCTCCAACTGGGCTATCTGCCTGTCACCAGGCTCCCACAGCTGGTAAACTTCCGGAGGAATATTGGCGATGAAGGCTTCCCGAACCGGTCCCACCGGATCGTGCCATACGATTAAAAATCCTCCTGTGCCCTGCTTCGGTTCCTCCAAAGCTGCATCCGAAGCTACAACAAACCGCAGACACTCGGACGGCCTCACAGGGAGTTCGCGACAGGGTCGATGGCGAAGGATGGAGTGGATCACATCGAAGTTGCGCTGAAGCTCTGGAGTGAGGTCGCGGTTGCGTTCTGTCTGGCGTGCTTTGATGGCTGCCAAGCCTGCGCAACCCAACCTTCCGTACATGCCCTGCTCGAGAAAATTGAGCATGCCGTAGAGCTTGGATGCCTGGCCTGAGGACAGACTATTGTGTGCCTGAGCTTCGGTAATCATCGCAGCTGTCTTCTGAATCAATCGATCTCGGG